GTACAGTTTATTATCTCTGAAAGGAAGATGTAAGAGCAGCATCTTGTGTTTTATCCGGACTCTTTTCCCCACCCTCCACCCCTGACTTTTACACCAATGGGAAAAAAAACAACAAATTGTAAAGGTTCTTTTTTCCTCTCTCTCTCTCTCTCTCTCTCTTTGATAGTTAAGAGCCCTTCACAAAGCAGAAGAATTAATCGGGGTAATTAGGTTGTGTTGTAATTCATGGCATTTTCTCAGGAATGGTAATTACCCTAATTCCCCCCCACACCCTCAGCCCTCCCTCTACCCCCCCCCCACCTGCCCATCACACGGCTGGGTTGCTGTTTTGATGTATATACTGTTCATTTAATTTCTATAATGAGAGGGATGTGGCCGGCTAAGACCTCTCACCAGTCTAGTGACGTCTTCTTTGAAGCACAGACACAAAAGGGGACTGTGAAGAATAGTCTGTAATCAACTAGTGAAAACGCCAGCCTGCCAGCCATGCTAGGAGGTTTGACCTCTGCCCTAGTATCACCACCAGCTCAGGATTTGTGCCACCAGACTCAGTCGTAGCACCGTCACTAGTGCATGATGCTCTTAAACGGGTTCAGGTAAAATGAGAATCAACCTGAACCTTCCCCCACGGCTTAAACGGAACCCCAAAACTTAATCCAGAGCTCAAACTAAATCCAGAACCTTGTGCCTGAGGTCACCACATCCCTGCATCTTCCCCAGAGCTAAGTGGACTCCCAGAGCTAGCCAAACCCGCATAGTTTCACTCATTGATAACCAACACATGAGCTTTCAACCAGAGCTCAATACGCCCTCTTCCCCCCCCCCCCCAAATCTTCATCAAGAGCTTGAACTGAGGCCTTGAGCCTTCTTCCAGCAGTGGAGCTCAACTTCAGACGTTTGGTGAAGTCAGAAGCAGTTCAGTTAGCTCTTCCTTTAACTTGTACCCTGCCCTTGCATCTCCTGTTTGCAGAATACATGAAAGCATCAGGCCATTGTGTAAAAGCCAATTTGCTCAGCATGAAGTGACCCAAAACCAGCAAATACAGGAAGTCTCCCAAGAGGCCCTGTTCTCATGAGATTTCCAGCCTGATCTCTACACCAGTATAGTCTGGAGAAATTCCAGTCAGCTGTGGGTAATCAATCAAATGCTGAACCCATATGAGTGAGGGGCAAACCAACACCAGTAACATGGAGGTTCCATTTTATTCAACACAAAGAAATCCAGATGATCATCCAAATAGTCCATGCTTCTTACCTGCACAACTGTATTGCTAATCGTGAGGCAGCAGGTTTTCTGGTGAGATTTCAGGGTCCTTCTGCTTCCCTCCACTCAAATTCCAGTTATGCCTAGACCCTAAGGGCTGGATTCTCTGCTGTAGCCAGTTTCTGCTGGGTGAAGCAAACAGATGCAGGGGCAAAGGAAGCTGTTGATGGCTCCCTGATCGTAGAGCTGGTTCTCCTCCAGCCCCATCATAGATTAAAGAAGCCTAGAGCCTCCTCTAATCTATGCTGGCCAGCTGTGGCCCCCAGTGAATATCCATCAGCTGGAGATTCCAGGAGCAGTGTGCTCTAGCCACACCATTCCCCACCTCCCATATGACAAGGGCTGCACAGAGAATACTTCAGGAGCCAGATGTATGCCTAGGGGAAGCCACAGATAGGGTGTTCTCACCAGTGTCTGGTCCCTTAGTGCCACCAGAGCCATGCAAAGAAAAGGGTACGGAGCTGACCCTAGGATATTACAGATGAAGCCAGACAGACAAGAAGGATGAGAAATGTGTTTCCCAATTTTTTTTGGACACTTCCACTCATTGTCCCAGGTGGCACCAGAAACTACAGAAAAAATGAAAAAGAATCCACGTGATGTTTTAGAAAAGCCTTTGCCCCATTCAGGGAGATGAGTTAAGAATTAGATGCAGCAAGTCCCTCCTCTCTTCCAGTGCTGGGTCTATACTCTCCACTGCTCCCCAGCTGATCAGCTGCCTCCTCCTGCTTGCTCACTACCCGCAATGTTGTGACATCACCATTCATCTCCATCGCAGCGCCTGTGAGATCACAAGCAGGAAGGGGCAGCAGAAGAGAAGGGTCGCAAGCCGTCGTTTAGCCACAAACACCTTGGGGATCAGCAAGGGAAGGGGAGGTAGAGAACTTATGAGAGTTTAATAGGAGCTTGGTAAATTATGGCTCGGCTTGATTTTTTTTTTTTTTAATGTGTTGCTCACGGCAGTGGCTTTTTAAGTGGATAGATTTGAAGGTTTCCCCCTGGTGCAAAAGGCCGTTCTCAAAGACAAATTGAAAACCTAGCTATGAAAATTAACATACAAATATCTTCCTCATCCTCTGTAATTAAGATATTTGCATAGGAAGAGAGCATGTTTCTCCTGACTCCTGCGTGGCCTGAATTCTTTCCCTCTTCCCCTCCATTTCATAATCCTCCTCCTCTCCCAGCCACCCTCTGTGAACTCCTACTCTAAACCAGCTGGAGATGAAAGAGGGAGAAAGACAGTATTTGCAAACAGCTGTGCTTAAGAAACGGACCATTTAGGGCTAGGCTTGCAGAGAAAGCATGCTTCACCGTACACTTGGGCAACGATGCACAAAATTGCACATATATAGAAATAGAAATCTTTTTTGGGGAGGGTAACTCAAGTACTGAGCACAACTGAAAATAGTTCTTTTTTCTGTGCATGCCACGCTGAATTGGGGGAGGAGGGGAGAATCATTTGTGTGGGCATCACATCATCAGATCGTCAAAGAAATTCACAGGGAAGAAATGTTTATATTTTCTTACTCCAACCCCCCTTTCCTTTTCTGCAGTAATTAGTGACAACATGCGGTACCTATAGTTCGGAAATACTTTGCCAGTATCTCATAGCAGCAGGGTAATAACTGCACTCCTCGTTTTTTCCAATACATGTGAGGAAAGCATATGAGATCATTGGCTTTTATAGTCAGATTCAACAGCTTCTTCATATTTACTTGGACTGAGATATAAATTGCATTTGGGTTTCTCTCTCCCTAAGTTATTTGTGATTGAATAAGCACATGGTAAGGGATAGACACAGGGAAAATGTCTCTTGCAGCCTCATGTTTGAGGTGGGATTTGCATTGTTCTGTATTGGGCTGGATTGGTGTGTTTTTCCATTGCTAATGACTTCATTTGCTCTGTATCTTTTTTGATGCCCGTCCTGTGACACTGCTGGCTGGGAGAGTTTGTGCAGCGGACTTTTCTAACTCTGTAACATTTTAATGAACAGGAAATTTAAACAGCAGTGAAATCATTTTCTCAACCTCTTTCCCACCCAGTTCTCATTCCTCAGGCATTTGATTTGTTCGGAATAGAGCAAAGCAATTTAGAGGCTTTTCAGCCATTCAGACAGCAATTGCCTGAACGGGATGATCTTGCAGCTACAGGTAGCAGCTCAAATTTGCACCGCTAGCTACGGTGAAAAGGTGCACGTGAGTGGAACTAGGTGGCCATGCCTCCCAAACCCACGTACTTCTTTGCTTTAATTTGGCAGCAGTCCGTGTTGTGTTCTTAAGCACCGCCTATGAAAATGGTCACATTTCACCGGAGAGGACTTACTCAGTGATTTCACAGTATCTGCCACGGCCGTTCAACATTATTTGCCCAGTGAGAGTCTCCTCTGGCTTCCCTTCTGCTTTAATACAGCCGAAGTCTTCTTTCAGTGTTTTCTCCTTCATTCTTTTATAATATTTTTTTCTTCTTCTCTTCTTTGGGCCCAATTCTCTGAGGGGTGGAGCATCTGTCACTCCACCGGTGGGGATAGAATTCGAGGCCAGTCATAATCTTGCAGGATAGGCTCCTGTACTTCCAAAATGTGACTGAAATGACTGGGGGGAGGAAGTACTGTAAATGAAACTCAGGGTGTCACCACAAGCTGCTTAATAACTTTGCACCACTGCAAATCAGGGCCGTAAACTCAGCTTCCCTGTCTGAAATGGGTATAATTCCTCCCTACCTCACGGGGGTATTTTGAGGTTTAATTGCTGTTTGTGAAGAGCACTATAGAGGTGGAAGTTGTCACAGAAAGGCAGATTACTGAATCACTGTGAGGCCAAACACTTTTCTGTCTGTCATGTCGCTCCTCTGGCTTAGGATACCTGTAAACTAAATAAAAGTGGAACAAGTTGCTCTCATGAGTCCACTTTTATATTGCTGCTCTCAGTGGTCCCTAACGCTGAGGGGCATGTGTAGCAGAGAATAGCATAGCATCTATGTTACTGCTGTATTACACTGCAAAATTAGCTACAAGAATAGCCTCTCCAGTAGGAGTGCTGCCACATAACCATCCATTATATAGTGGGTGCTTCATCCTGTGAACCTTTAGGACCCTAATTCTGAGAGGCTCCAGGCACTCCCTGTCAGGTTCTGAGCAGCTTGAATTCCTGTTTGCTTCAGTGAAAGTGACAAGCACTCGGCACCTTACAGGATCAGGTCCTCAGTCTTGATTCAGGCCAAATGTTCCCTGGAAGTTTTGGCTGAGTAAAGGCCTGCAGTGATATCAATCCAAGTACATCATTCTAAGGAGGATGTTTAGTAGCAAAGGAACTGGAGATATCGCGGAGTTGGACACAAGGGACAATTCCAGCCCTTTACAGTTCCTTCTGTGCTACAAGAAGGAAAGGAGACTCTTTGTACAGGGTCTCAGTGTTATTCAGTGGCTTTTATCATGTAAGTCAGGGGTCCAATTCACAGGTGCCCATCACTTTGTTTAGTCCTTTGCACTTGTTTAATTGATGACCCCAGGTGCCGAGCAGTGGTGCAACGTGCCTCAGCACAATAGTGGATGATCACGATGAGTGTTGTAAAGCTGTTAGAATGTTGCAGCCAGTGAAAGCCTTACAGTTCAGTTAAAGACATACCCTCTCCCTTCTTGTCCCCCTGCTTCATCCCCCCCGACATACTCCCTCCTCCTCTCCCCCTCCCCTTCTCTTTTGTTTTTCTCCTTCCCTTGTTTTCACCCATTCACTGTCAGGAAGGGCCGCATCCGAAGGGCCAATGCAGCGCAGCGTGGCAGCGGCAGAGACTAGCACGACCAGCAGCTAAAACAGTGAGTGGATTTCAACTCCAGGGGGCAGTTTGAAGGCTGGGGAGTTGTATGGATCGAGCATGTGATGACATATGGGATTGGCTTTGGGACTGGTCTGCCACAGTGCATGTGGCAGTGGAGGGGACTCCACCCCTCGTGTGGGAGGAGAACACAACCTACCCCCACAAAAACTTCATACAGATAAAAAGCCTCTCAGTGTAGCTGAAGCAGATTACAATAAGGCATGTGCTGCGTTAGGTGTCTGACTGTCTCTTGGAAGGCCCTTGGCATTGCTGTCAGGGAGCAGGGCTCTAGTAATTAATGTCGGTCAGCGGAATTGCATGATAGCGTGAGTTTAGATCCAGCATGGACAGACGATATAAGGGACATGGCAGCAGTTAAACAGGCTTCACCCCAAATATGATTTTGCTGCTTTCTTGCATTTCAGTGCAGTAACCAGAATGGCACTGCAGGACATGGATGGAATTAGTGTAAGATCTGATGTCATTTGTATCCTCTGCCCTGAAGGCAGTGGCGGATTAGCCACTGGGCCAATGGGTCCCATGCCCAGGGGCACTGGGCAATTGTGGGACCCTGGGAAAACGGGGTCCCCACGCCCTGACCCGCTCCGTCCACCTAGTGCTCCTTCCGGGGAGCAGGGTCGGGGCGCAGGGGCTTGCCCCGCTCTGCCCGCCAGCCTGGTGCTTCTGCCAGTGAACAGGGTCAGAGTGCAGAGAAGGGCAGAGGCAGCATGTCCCAAGCTGATGGGTCCTTTCGGGAGGCTGTGGGTCCAGCCCCACCGGTGCCTGGCTCAGGTCTCCACCCCGCTGGGGAAAGTTAGTGCAGCCACATGACAGGGAGCTCCCGCAGCTAAATCAGGCCCAAACGGAGGGCTGAGCCAAAAGCTTGCAGCTGCAGGGAGCCCGAGGCAGCAAGGGAGAAGCAAGCTTGAAGGAGGCCTGCCAGGCCCCCCCCAGCCAGGACAAGATTAAAGGGACCACTCAGAGAAGCTACAGCTAGCTGGAATGAGCAGCACAGGCTCTGCAGGGCTGTGAGATTCCGGGCACAGGTGGGGCCGCTTATCAGCAGAGCTAAGCCGAGATGCTGTAAGAAACGAGAGCCCTCATGGCTGAATCGAGTCTAAAGTGCTCTGGTCTGGGTGCCAGGCAAGGGAGGAGAGGGCAGTGCTCCTGCAGGGCCATGCTGTGCCCCCAGGGTATCCTGAGGGATGTTCTGCTGGTCACATAGGGCCCACCTCTCCCAGGATCCAGCCCAGCCCACCAGACCAGGTGGCTTGCAGAGCCAGTTCCTTGTGCCAGCCAGCATGGCCATGTGACCTGCAGCCAGGCCAGAGATTTGGGTTTGAAACCCTTTATTTCAAGAACCTGGCTAGTTTCCAGGTGTACATGGGCTTCCTGACCAGAGGCGCTCCTGCCGGGCGGGCAGAGGAGGGCAAGCCCCCGTGCCCCGACCCCATTTTCCCGGCAGGAGTGCCCGGGAGGTTTGGGGGGCCCCCACTTGCTCTGGCCCAGGGCCCCACAAAACCATAATCCGCCTCTGCCTGAAGGGAGTCTTTTTAACAGGATTTCCCCCTGTCCACTCACACTATTTTTTGTCTTTCATTCACATCCTCGTGACTGTATAAATACTGAAGAGGTCAACTCCAGCAAGACATGGTAACATGTAACTTCTCTGTAGTTCCTTTCATCCAAAGCCTCTGCAAACTGTGAGCCTGATCCTGCAAACACTTACCTCTGGACTGCCATGAACAATCCCCAGGGAAGTTAATGGGACTAATCACTCTAGAAAGTTCCATACCTGGTACTATTTGCAATATCAGGCTCCACATAAATGCAGCACCCCACTGAGAGTGGATACATTTTGGACAAGAGAACACTACCGTACTCGGATGCAAAGTTCCCTGAGCTCTTGCATGTCCCGTGTCAACATTTCGTCCCAAACACTCACACACTCTCTTCCTTTGGCTGCACTGTCATTGCATATGGCTCTTTCTTCATAATTGTACTAACCATCTGGAAATTTGTTGCTTCCTTTTGTTGATTTTATTTGTTTTCCAGTGTAGATAACGTGAATTAGCAGATTCCCTTAGCATATCTTATACCATTTAATAATACAACCATTCAATACTTTTAATATATTGGCAAATACAAAGAACAAGCTATTCTGGGGTGGGGTGGGGGAGAATTTACTTAGAAATGTCCCCGGGTATCCCTTCCAGCAGAGCCTTGCAGCCTGCCATGGAGGTCAGTTGACTCCAGCTCCCTCGGACTGACTGGGTCCTAGACTTCAGAGCTCTGCACTGACCATGCTTGTATAGAGAGGTAGGGTCCGCCATTGGTTTGGGTGCTAGCCTGTGATTTGGGTTCAATTCGCTGATCTGCCACTGAATTCCTATGTGACCTCAGGCAAGTTATTTAGTCTCTGTGCCTCAGCTTCCCATCTGTAAAATGGACATAATAGCATGCCCTACCTCATAGGTGATAAATACCTTTAAGAAGATGGTGAGGCATTGTGAAGGGGTTCCCACTCACCACAGGGTCTGGGAATTAGCACCTCCCCCACACCATCTAGCACTCTCTTCTGTGGGTTATTCATGGCATGACCCCCTCACTCTCTTCATGACTCAGGGCTCTCCTTCTTCATGACTCTGCCCTCTGGCCTGGTCACTATATAGTCCTCCCCTTCTAGGGTAGGAAAGTCCCACCATACAATATCCGTATGCCATTTCAGTCTTCTGTTTCAACTCCAGGTCCTGTGCAGCTTTGCCAGTTTCAACCCAGGCCCTCCCACTACTCCAGGTTCCAGCCCTGAGACCCTACGACTAGCAACCTAGGTCTGCTTAGTCTGAGAGACTGTTGTTTCCCTGGGCTCCTTCCTGCCCCCTTTCTCTATGTCCTTGCCTATCTCTAGGTTTACTACCAAAGATTCCTCCACTCTCTGTGGCTACTTCACCCCTCTGAGCCTCTTGCCAGATTCCCTAATCCAGGACAGGACCCTCAGAGCTTTCTCTTCTCCTGGATTTCCTCCTTGTCCCTGACCAACTCTCTTTCCCTTTAGGAAGTAACTGCAGACCTCACCCCTTCAGCCGCCTCCTACTTGCACTTCCTGGCTTTGCACTCCTATCCCAGGTGGGCTTCATCTGCCATCAGGCCTATCAAGCCCTGGTTCCACCCCAGATGCAGCATTCTGGCCCACATTAACCCACTGAGGGCTTGTGTGGGGATAGACATCCCATCACAGCTGCTCAGATACTATGGTGATGAGGGCCATATAAGTTACTTAGATAAATACAATCTTTGGTTTTGAACTGCACAGGGAAACATTGTCAGCAGAGATACGCAATGTACCCTGCTTGGAACTGGGTCTCTGGATCAGTCCGGGTGTGGTGAACTATGAAAATTCTCAGTGTTGTTGGAAAAAACCAGCAGGAGCTGGAAAGTATCCACCAGTGCAAGGACCATGCTGTGATTCCTTAGCCCTTTCCTTACCTGGCATGTGCAGCACTGCCAGGCATAGGCGCCAACTCTGTGGGTGCTCCAGGCTGGAGCATCCACAGAAAAAAAAATAGTGGGTGTTCAGCACCCACCGGCAGCCCCCGATCAGCTCCTCTCCCTTCCCCCCATGCCTGCTGCCTGCCGGTGGCCCCGTCGATCAGCTTCTCCCCCTCCCTCTCAGAGCCTCCCACGGATCAGCTGTTCAGCAGCGTGCAGGAAGCGCTGGGAGGGGAGGGGGAGGAGCGAGGGCAGTGAGCACTCAGGGGATGGGGCAGACCAGGGGCAGGAAGGGGCGGAGGTGGGGGCTTGGGGGAAGGGGTGATGTGGGGTCAGGGCCAGGGGTGGAAAGGGAGGGGGTTGAGCAACCCCTGGCAACTCATAAAGATGGCGCCTATACTGCCAGTACTGTGCAAGGACATTAGTCTAGCTGCAGTGCTGTAGGATGTGGCCTTGCCTGGTGAGCTTATGCAATTAGCCAGGCATTAGAACCCCCCAAGAGGTGATAGAGACATACATGCATATGTAACAGGTGTCTTTCTGAACACACATCTCTCTCTTTCCTTTCTGCTTGCTGCCACCCAAACAGGATCTTTTTTCTTAATTAGTTAATGTTTTATTAAACAGGAGGTACCTAGCTCAGAAGCAAGAGGTTTAACTCAGAATTTCACACAACCCATACAAAAATACTGCATTAAAAGAACATAAAGGTTGCAAAGTGAAGCATGCAAAAGTCAGGCACTGGAAAGGTCAGGACTGCCTATGCATCCTTAACTTCTAGACTCCGATGTATCAGCCTACAGTCTTTAATTATATGATCGTGAGCTATTATTCCTGCAAGGACAGTGCTCAGTAAACAAAGGCAATTGTTCATTATTTCTTAGTGTTCATTGTGTGGCCCCATGTCTCATTTGCTGCACACCATCCAACTTCCACATTGCGATTTTTTTCTTTCTTTATTGTCTTTTTCTATGTCATTCATCACTGCAGTGTCTGAGAACCTCACAAATCTCTATCTGCCCAGCACTCTTCTGAAGCCGGGAAGTTTTATTTCCCCATTTTACAGATGAGGACCCGAGTTACAGAGAGATCAAGTGAATTACTTGTGGTTACACAGCAAATCTGTGGCACAAGCAAGACCAGAACCCAAATCTTGGGAGTCCCTAGCCATGGCCATAATCACAAGGCTATCTCTTCTCTACCAGGGGCCCTCTATCTTATTCACTACACACCATATAACATCTGCAGTGAAAGAGGAAAGGATGCTATGGATACCACCTTCATTCATGACACACCATACAATATCTGCGGTGAATGAGGTGAGATGTTCAGGTCCCAAGAAAAGTCACTACACAATCTGGCCTCATTCATTCTCCAGCATGTACATTGCATGAAGCAGGGGTCCTATGAAAAAATAGTGTGTGATCATGTAACTGAAAACGGTATCACATTGCAGAGGTACAGGGGGGGCAGGGCTAAGGTTATCCTTTGGCTGAAGGAGGGTCCCCT